GAGACGGACCAAACATGGCGAGCGCAATCGCAATTGCACAGACATGGGTGTGCCTGTGCGCAAACATGGTTATATGTATATGTATATGCGTGTGTCTGTGCGCAAGCATGGTTATTCCCCTTTTCCAGGTGTGTACATATCTTAGTTCCTTCCCAACCAAAGAAACATATCAGGTGCTTTGCCGACTCATCGCGAATTCAGGCAACGGTTTCGCTGGGATCATCACATCACGATACTCCTGCTCGTGATTGTCGTGTACATCTTCCTCCAGGGAGGCCAGCAGCACATCGCTGACAGAGCGGCGAGGACCCCCGACAGTGGGCCATCGGGCCCCCTGTCGGCGATCCATGGGCGACTGGGGGTCGAAGCATCCCGCCTGACTCGCTCCCCACCTGACGTCGACGCGGGCCCCCAAAATGAAATGAGAACTCGGGCCCCCCGGCCTCCACGCAACACGAAGCCTGGCCGAGGATAGACTCTAGTGAGGACAGATCGGGAATCTCCGAGATCTGGCCGCTCTGGAGGACGTTGTGGGCGCCGCGGCGCTCTCAGAGCCTTCTGGAACACTCTGAAAGCCTTCCGGAACGCTGTAGACCGGAATCATCCTCGTCCTGGCCCCGTCCGATCACGGCGGAAAGAAAGTAGTCAGACGGACGCCGACCGGAACGCCTCCCAGTGGAACGAAAGAAAGTATTCAGACGGACGCCGACCGGAACGTCTCCCGGCAGACCACGGCGCGGGCACGCAGCTCTGCCAGCGGCGGCGCGCGCTGGGCCCGGGGCAGCCATGCCGCTCCGTCGCGGACCACGCCGGCGACCGAGGTCATGGCACTGCGGAGCAGCGAGCCGCGAGGGGTTCCCGCGGCTGTCGAAGAGAGGGTCTAACGAAAAGGGTCTGCCGGAGGGGGTCTGCTGAAGCACACCTGACGAAGGAGGTCTGTCAGAGCGGACCTCCGAAGAAGACACCACCTGCCGAAGCGGTCATCTGCCGGAAATGACCTGCCAAAGAGGAGCGGGTCAAAGAGGACGTCTGCAGAGGCGAACTTCTCTCTCTCTCGTCTCTCTTGTCATGTTCCTCTTCCTCCTCCTCCTCCTCCTCCTCTTCCTCCTCCTCCTCCTCTTCCTCCTCCTCCTCCTCCTCCTCCTCGTCCTCCTCCTTCTCCTCCTCCTCCCCGTCCTCCTCCTAGTCCTCCCCTCCTCTCCTCCACTCCTCCTCCTCCTCCTCCTCCTCCTCCTCCTCCTCCTCCTCCTCCTCCTCCTCCTCTTCCTCCTCCTCTTCCTCCTCCACGTTTTCTTCTTCCTATGAGTAGCATCATTATTATTAGCATGATCATGCTTATTATTAGTAGGATTATTAGTCAAAATAGTGTTGTAATGATTGTTAGTAAGATTACTAATAGTAGTAAAAACATTAATAATATGTTTATGATTGGCATAACTGTCACTAGAATTAGTAGTAAGGTTATCGATAGTATAAGTCTGCATAATGTGTATATTACGTTTAGTAATATTAGTCATATCATTAATAGTAACATGACAATGAGTAGTATACGTGATATTCCCATCATTCGTATCATTCGGACTATAACTTGTATTAGTATTCGTAGTCGTATTGATATGATTCCGCTTCTGCTTATTAGTGTTAGCGCTACTAGTAGTATTAGCATTATCATGTGCATTGCTCATATGAGTATTAAAAGTATCGGTATTCGTATCCGTATTAGTCGTATTATTGTTAATGGAAAAATTTGTCTTATTATCACTACTGCTAGTATCATTCATACTACGATTATTAGTATCATTGTGCTTCCGAACGTTCGTATTCTGCTTATTGGCATTATTATTATCAGTAGTATTACTATTCGTAATAATCTTCGTATGTTGTGTATGTTTTCTTATTCCCTGTCATGGTACTACTAGTGGTCGTATCATTATGTGTGTGGTTCTTGATTTTGATAGTGGGATTGGCCTTACTAGTCCTAGTAATAGCACTCATACGGTTAATAGCCTATAAATGTTGTTAGTATTGGTAGTATGATTGTTGTGATTCGTAACAGTAACGCGATTATTCGGTTGCAGTATTAATAATCCGAATGGTTCCAATACTAGTAGTGTGATGGTACGTGGCATTAGTAGTACGAGTATTACTAGTAATGCGTGTATGCTTAGTATGAATATTCGTTGCATTAACAGTGTCATTGATCTTCACACCAGTACTAATATTATCATTGGCAACGTATGATGAACTGTTATGATACTAGTAGTCTGGTTAGTTTTGTTATTATGGGTCGTCGTGGTCCGCTTATTATTCCTCTTCCTCCTCCTCCTCCTCCCCCTCCATCACCACCACCACCACCACCACCACATCCTCCTCATCCTCCTCCTCCTCCACCTCCTCCTCCTCCTCGTCCCGTTCATCCTCCTCTTTCTCCTTCTCCTTCCTCCTCCTCCTCCTCGTCCTCCTCTCCTCCTCCTCCTCCTCCTCCTCCTCCTCCTCCTCC